TTTTATTTGTCTTTATTTATTTTTCGAACATTGACTAAAGCTTTAGTGGGTAATTAGTTTGAATTATTGGGTTAGTTGATAATGTTTGAATTTGTGTGTATTGTGTGTTTTAGGTAGTTTGAAATATTAAATTATGTACAAAAATTGATTATGGGGCAATGTGCTCACTATTTTGGATTTTGAAGGGGCAATGTCTCTTTTGTATATTTTCAGGGGGGAAAGTGCAAAAGGTTGATTTTTTAAGGTGGTGAAGTGCATTTTGTCCTTAAAACTAAAATTTTAAAAATTAGGGTAAATTACGGCCACTCTCTGAAATAAGATCAAATTATGAAGAAAAAAAACTAATAATTACAACCACATATTCAACTATTAATTTTCTTACACGTACTAGTTATGTGCAAAAATACAGTTTCTGATGCATCACAGTCTGATATTTACAAGAAAATAGACACATGTTATGATCATCTTATTTTAAAATGTGGAGTTCGAATGGGGTAAAACGGGTACAAACTGAATAATATTCCACTAGATTTGGCACCGCAAGAATGAACGTGTAAGATTATTCATAGTTAAGGGAGGTGGTTGTAATTATCCAAACATGAGGGGATTTTTCGTAAATTGACATTACCACAGAGTTGGCAGTACTTTATTCGAAAAATTAAATACAAAAACAATAACTTTTATATATGCTTATATAGTAATAAAAAGAAAAAATAAGAGGAGGCCATGGCCCCCTTTAATTTGCCCTACACCAACTTCCCGGCTTCCCCACCGAGTAATGCAGAGTGTCTATTGAGGTCATCAATCAATATACATACATAATAGTATGCATGCATGCATATATGTAAAAAGTTAAGGGGCAGAGATAATTACATCTCTTACATACATGGTATATATGCATGCATTATATTTTTTTCTCGAAAGTGTTGATTTCGATTTACGACAGATGTGTATTTAATTAGTAAAAAAAAAATCGAAACATAATACAATTGAAAATAAAGAATTTTTCCAATTTAATCTTCTTATTTTTTAAAAGAAAAGTAATTAAAAAAGAAAAAAAAGAAAATAGCCCTCAAAATATTAATACATACATTTAACATGGCAATAAACTCACCACCTAACTTACCGCCATTATATTTAATTCATATATAAATTCACATATGAACAACAATCAGTATCAATATCAGTATTAATATCAATATAATATATTCGATTAATTAGTATATAGAAATGGCTCTCCAATGGCTAACCCTGGTTGCAACAATATGGCTTCAATCGATAAACGGGACCAACTCAAACTTCCCGGCGTACTCGTCGGAGCTGAAGCGAACCCTCTCGATTACACAGCTCCAGCTCAACAACCTCGCCTCCGCCTCCGACGCCGGAAAACTCCTCGGCTGGATCTCCGGCGTCGCCGCCTCCCACTTCCCTCTCTGGCTCGTCCTCCTCATCGGCTCCCTCCTCGGCCTCGTCGGCTACGGCGTCCAGTTCCTCTTCCTCACCGGCCAAATCGCTCCGCTGTCGTACTGGCACGTGTTCCTCCTCACCGCCTTGGCCGGAAACAGTATTTGCTGGATAAACACCGTCTGCAACATCGTCGCCATTAGAAACTTCTCCCTCGACCGCCAGATCGCCGTCGGCTTGTCCACCAGCTACTTGGGTCTCAGCGCCATGGTTTACACCGCCGTAGTCGACGTTGTCGCCGGTGGCGGCGGCGGTGGTGGTGGTGATAGTATTAGTAGTAGTAGTGCCGAGAGAGCTAAGTTGTTTCTTTTCTTGAACGCCGTGGCGCCGCTGGCGGTTTGTGCGGCGGCGGCGCCGCTGGCGTGCATGGACGTCGGAGTCGGAAAAACCAGGAATCTGACGACGGGGTTCTTCGCCATGTTCGTGATTACGACCCTCACGGGTTTGTTCGCCGTGGTCACCAGTTTGGGCTCCACGGCGGCGTTTTCGGTGCTGTTTCTGCCCGGGCCGGCGGTTCTGGCGGGGGTGCTCGCGATGCTGGCGTTGCCGTTGGTTGTGCCGGTGGCGGAGATGATCGGGGAGAGGTTGCAGCGCAAGTGCCGGATTAGAGTAGCGCACGGTGATATCGAGGGTTTGGCGTTCGCTGCTCCGGGGACGGAGAATGACGTGGCGGCGGCGAAGAAAGAGGATGGTGAAGGGGAGATTCCGGCGAAGGTGATGGTGAGGAGAGTGGATTTCTGGATATATTTTTTGGTGTATTTGTTCGGAGCGACGATCGGACTGGTGTATATGAATAACCTAGCGCAGATTGCGGAGTCGAGGGGGTTCTCCGCCGGAGTTTCTTCACTAGTGTCGCTGTCTTCTGCGTTTAGTTTCTTCGGCCGTCTTCTGCCGTCTCTTCTCGATTACTTTGCTCCACAGTCAGTCTCTCTCTGACTCTCTCTCTCTCTCTACCAAAATTACATTCTGGAAATTTCTGAAAACATACGGCTTAATTTCACTTTAGACCCTTGAAAATATAGTTATTTGTCATTTTGCGCCCTCAAAAAATACTTATTAACACTTTATATCCTTAAAACATGACGAATCATGCATAATGTACCCCGGATGAATTTCTAAAGCTAAGGAAAGTAATTTTAATATTTTTTAGTGGAAGTTTTCTCCAGAATGTTAAATGTCAAATTAAATTTATTTTTATTCATCTATTCTTTCGAAACTATTAAGTGTTAGTGATAATTTTTTTTACTAATTCAACGTGATTTTTGTTTTTTCACACTGTGTACGCTCGAAATTATGTTGGGTAGAATAAAATAGTAATTTAATTTATCATCTGACACCTAGAAAAAAAAAGTTACCGTTATTAAATTTTAAATATTCAATTCATGGTGCATTTTATTTCAAAGGTGCAGAGTGTTATTAAAAAATTTCAAACTCGCATAGTACCAAATTAAATACCATATATTTCAAGAGTGCAAAGTGGAATCAAACCGAAAACCAATTTATGGAAAATTCGAAATAGGGGAAATATATTTTTAATTTTCTTATGAATTTGGAGACTATCTTCTCCACACACTAAAACACTATAGCATATAATGAGTAGCAACATTGTTAGCTAGGCTTTAATGAAAATATGTACGATGAAAGTAGTTAGTTAGTTGGCCATAAATTTATTCAGCCAAATATTTGAATTTTTGCATGTCTGTTGTACTTCCACACCACACCCTCTATACCTATCTATATATATGCCAAATTAAAGTCAATTTTGTTAGGCCGTTTAAGGAGAGATCTAAATTTGTTGTCCCATTCCAAAATAACTATACGCCAACACTATTTAATTTAGCGTTGGGAGTCGGGACTGGATTGTGTCGATCTATTACCAGCTTAAAAACCAATCCACCCAACAAACTAATTTTGCTCAAATTTAAAAATTATTATCGACCCAATTTTTGTGGGTCGGTTGAATATCTGGTTCTGAAATATATTGGTTGATGGGTGTATTCCCAATTATGCAATTTTTATGAGGCCTAAGTTTATCTGAATTTATTTTTCTCGAGTAATACAAATTATAGTAAAATCGTAACTAATATGAGATATAACATTGTTATTTTTTTTTTCTTTCAATCATCAGAAGCAAACGCTCGATCTCAAGAGCGGCGGCGATGGGGGGCATGATGGCCCCGATGTGCGGGGCTTTCTTGTTGCTAATCATAAATGGGTACGGCCAGGTTTCGCTCTACATAAGCACAGCAATCATAGGAATATCGACCGGTGCAATTTCATCGATTTCTGTCGCAGCAACTACCGAGTTATTCGGAACGAATAATTTCGGAGTCAATCACAATATCTTGATATCGAATATACCGATTGGATCCTTCTTGTTCGGAGATTTTGCTGCATTGCTGTACAGAGCAAGAGGAAAAGGTAATGGTGAGGAGAATTGCATGGGAGAGAAATGCTATCAAACAACTTTTATTATATGGGGTTGTTTGTGTGTTTTTGGGACTTTTTTAGCTTTTATACTTCATAAACGGACAAGGAAAACGTGTAACACGTTTAATAGATTGTAGAGTGTGCAATTAGTACTTAATTATTTCATTGAGTATTGTATTGTACTAATTTATAAAATATTTCAGATAGAGAGAGGTCGATAGAATTAGAGTGATGCTATTTTCACTTCTAAAGTATCACAATTCATCATAACAAATATATAAAATATATAAAATATAAAAAATGCCGGCCCCTCGAATTTCTAATCTACCATCCTTTCTTATATTCGCTTAATTCTCATGTGTTTTCAGTAATTTTTTTTTGTGCAACAATGAAATATTTATTACAAGATATTTAAACTTCCATGTGTGTAGATTATGTAATTTTTTTATGAGGAACCGAAATTATATTAAAACTGGCAAATTACAAATACAATTTTTTTTTTCTATCTAGCACAACTTTATTGTAAGGTGACTTGAAGAGTTCGGAGGATGTCCGAAAACGACGAATATGACTGCAGGTAAGGTGCACTCTAGAATTGTGATTAATTGTGAACAATATGGTAGCCATAGTGCTGCATTGGGTGGCGGGGAGGTTCCTGGCCTCCGAGACGATTGTAATGGGCACCCCCCCGCATTGAGAACCCCAAGAGAGCCACCTTCACAAAAACGGGGTCTGCTCACGTTCAACAAGTTGGTTTTCTTCTATCGGGAGGAGCGAGCGAGTCCGGAGAAAGCTGGGAAGAGGAGTTTGCAAGGGCACGGGATTTGCTAGTGCCGTAATTTTTAGGAAATCCGTGTAGAGTTCGTAGCACGAGTTCCAATATTAATTTATATATGTAATTAAGAGTTGAACTTAAACTAGGACTCTTTTTAACTATGTTTAGGTATTTAATTAATGGCCCGCATGGGTGTAGCTCAACTGGTTCCGGATGTGGTAAGTTGGTGCAAGGTCCTAGGATCGAATCCTGGCAGCCGAATTTCAACTCCAAATGAGGGTTGGTTCCTTGTGGGCACCAGGTCCGAGTCCGCTACCTTAACGGGCCGTTGAGTTACCATGATTTACATCCTCCATCAATCCTTGTCGGGCCAAGGGATGGGGGCCCTTGGGGCGAGGGATTCGCCTTTTGGTGCAAGGTATTTAATTAATGGGGTTTAAAAGCCCATTTAGTTATAATTTAGGCTTCCCCACCAATAATTAATTTAATTGGGCCTATTCTTAAATTGGCCCATCGGATATAATAAAATTAGGCTTACTTATACGACAATAATATATAGTAGTATGACGTAATGTTACGTATGAAAATTGCACACAGGATTTGGTGGCAATCATGTGATATTTAATCCTAAATAAATTTCCTGTCTGTACGTATCTATATCTCTTCGAATATTCTGTCTCTCACGACTCATAACGAAAAAGAACTTCAATCTTTTACCTATTAATTTAAGATTTTATGTTATTTATAGAACTCATAAAATAAAAACCATATATATATTTATTTACTTATTTTATTAATTAATGGGATTAGTTTAATTAAGCGAGTGATTGGTTTAGATTAAAAAAGGTAGAAGTCCATACCGGCACGTGAGTAGCACATGCGGTATATTCATACTATATATTATTGATTGATTTCCCCCAAACGATACTCTGAATCTCATCATTTTCATCTTCACCAACCTCTCTCTCTCTCTCTCTCTCTCTACTTTCTCTCTCATCTCGTTCCTTTTCATGGTGAAGATGAAGATGATTCACAGAATCCTCCCGAGGGCATTTTCGTCTAATGCATCCGTCGTCCGTCGCTTCTCCTCTGCAGCATCGCAATCAACTCTCGCCGCCCAACCGGTTCAGGAAAATGAGCCCGTTATCCCCAAAATGCCCCCCTTCGACTACACTCCTCCGCCCTACACCGGTCCCTCCGCCGAGGAGATCCTCAGGAAACGCCAGCAGTTCCTCAGCCCCGCCGTCTTCCATTTCTTTAAGAATCCAGTGAGATTCGCCTTTTGATTCGTTTTCGTGATCCTTTATTTTTTTTCATGTGTTGGTAATTTTTTTTAATTTTGTTTTTTTGTCGTTTTGTGTTTTGTGAAGTTGAGTTTGGTGGATGGGAAGATGCAGTATTTATTCGACGAAAAGGGGCGGAGATATCTGGATGCATTTGGTGGAATCGCCACCGTTGGTTGTGGCCACTGCCACCCTGAAGTGGTGGATGCCATTGTTAATCAGACCAAGCGTTTGCAGCATTCCACCATCTTGTACTTGAATCCTGCTATAGCCGATTTCGCCGAGGCTCTCGCTTCCAAATTCCCCGGTGATCTCAAGGTAATCTATACGCAGAAAATCCAGTAGCAAAAAAAAAAAAGCATAGCAATTTTTTTTTCATTGTGTTTCGGAAATTAAAATGTATTTTTTTTTTTTGGTTTTTGGTTTAGGTTGTTTTCTTCACAAATTCCGGGACAGAGGCGAATGAGCTGGCGTTGATGATGGCCCGATTGTACACGGGGTGTAATGATGTAATTGCAATTAGGAACGGGTATCATGGCAATGCAGCTGCCACCATGGGCGCCACTGCTCAAAGTAACTACAAATTCAATGTTGTTCAGGTATAATCACATCTATAAAGCACGCCTTCTTGTCGATCTCAAGATCTTTTGACTAGTATATATATGAATATCTTATGATTCGGTTGGTGTTATATGAAGGTTCACATACAACTGTTTGTGCTTAAAGTTAAACGATACTTTTGTCGCATAATGTATCATGAGTACTTGATATATATGTACTCTTGTTCAACACTCTAGGAACCAAGAAAATAACGAGGCAGTGTTGTCTTTCAAGAAAAATAGTTACCGACCGTTCCATTTTAATTTTTTTCAGAAACCAAGAATTTGTCCATTAAGTAATACATTTGACTTTTTTGTTTTTCATGTTTGGCTTCTATTTATTTGCAACAGACTGGAGTTCACCATGCACAGAATCCGGAGGAGTACAGAGGCATCTTCGGATCTGACGGACTGAAGTACGCAAGAGATGTTGATGAAATTATTACTTACGGAACACATGGTCGTGTTGCTGCCTTCATTTCTGAAGCGATACAGGTCGTTATCTCATCGTAGTTTGTACAGTCTGATCAAATGTTTTCCAACTTTTTTTTTCCCCGGTCTCTTATATTGATGAGATCGCATCTTTACAGGGAGTGGGTGGGATTTTGGAATTGGCTCCTGGGTATCTGCCAGCTGTCTATAACACCGTCAGAAACGCAGGGGGGCTTTGTATAGCCGATGAGGTCCAATCAGGTTTCGCTCGTACTGGGTCCCACTTTTGGGGATTCGAGGCCCATGGAGTTGTTCCTGATATTGTAACCATGGCCAAGGTAGTACTTTATTTCGAGATTTTCTTCACTCTGCAATTGTCGATATATGATAATTTGTGTATCTTAAACATATTCTTCGTACGTTACGTTTGATATATTGTTTTAAAAACAGGGCATTGGAAACGGAATACCACTCGGTGCTGTGGTCACCACTCCCGAGATTGCAAAGGTTTTGACTCAGCGTATGTATTTCAATACGTTCGGCGGCAACCCTGTATGTACTGCTGCTGGGCTTGCAGTTCTCAATGTAATAGAAAAGGAAAAGCTTCAACAGAATGCCCTCACTGTCGGTTCTTATCTGAAGGAGCGTCTTACTTCTTTGAAAGACAAATACGAGAGTATGCTTCTTCTTTTTTCGTTCTTTTTTTCTTAAATGCTAAAGTTGAAAAGAACTATAGAAGAAACATGTATTTCGCATTGTAGTATAAAATGTCTGTTTTGCAGTTATCGGAGATGTCAGGGGAAGAGGTCTAATGCTCGGAGTTGAACTAGTGACAGATCGACAGTTGAAAACCCCAGCTAAGGTCGAGACTCTTCATCTAATGGACCAGATTAAAGGTGACTTTTTTCTACTCCCTTTTTTCAATTTTAATTTTATTTTAATAAATCCTAGTTTTGATTAAATTCTTACTAATCATGTAAGTGCTGTGTTTATACAGAAATGGGAGTACTGATAGGGAAAGGTGGCTTCTTTGGCAACGTTTTCAGAATTACTCCACCCTTGTGCTTCACTAAGGAGGATGCTGGTTCGTATCCGTTTTTTGTTTTATATTTTCTCGTTTATCACGATTCTTGTTTTAACAATTGACCATTTAATTATTATTATTTTTTCGTCTAGATTTTCTTGTTGATGTGATGGACTATTCATTGTCGAAGATGTGAAAGAAGATCCATGCCAATGGACAACGACCATGATATTGATCGATATGATGCCGACAACTTCCGACATTCTTATTAGTAACTTCTGTGTAAAAAAAGTTAAATTTGCAATAAAAATTAAGTCTTGGCTTGGGCTGCCTCACTTTGGTAAGGAGATGTTTGAGACATCACCTCGTTGTCTCTCCGCTCCGTTATTATTATGTCATTCACTATCGAATCGTGTGGACTGTAAATTTTTCGTTTCTTGAAGAATGTTTTCTCGTTCAGTTATCGACTCTTTTGCTCGAATTATTTAGCTACATGATTAAACTATGATCCACAACGGAGGAAACTATGATCACTTTGATTTTGCTGATTGAAGAATTCAAATTTGATGTGTTTATAATAAAATAAAATAATAAAAATCGTTTCCAGGGTTTGAAATTTATCAATATCCCTCAATTTCAATTATATTTATGTAATGATTTGCAAATTATACATTATAATTCCAGAAATGTTCTTGGATATTAAAGATTAATATAATCCTCAACTAAATAAAAACCAATTAAAATATAAATTTATAAGCTGATTCTAATTACTCAACAGACTACATAGAAAATGCTAATAAATAATAACACAGGAAAAATATAGTTTTCGTCCCTCAAGTTTGCACTAATTTCACTTTTGGCCCCCTGTATTCACAAGAAAATACATTTGGTACCCTATGTCTCAATAATTCAATAGTTTTAGTCATTTTCATCAATTTTCCGTTAGTACGAATGGAATCAAGTGTGTACGCATCACTACTTTGACGGATAAACCAACAGTAAATTGACGGAAAAAACCAAAACTGAAAAATTATTGATACATTAGGGACCCAATGTGGAATTAGTGAAAATTTGAGGGGTGAAAACTGTAATTTTCTATAACAACACTTTCCATCTCTATTTTTTTTTTTTCTTTTCTTCCGAATCACTCTTCCATTTTTTTTCTTTCTAAACCCTAAACCCCAAATTCCAATTGCCAATTTGTATCTCAATACCAATTTCCAATTGCCAGTCGAGGGGGGAGAAATGGGTGTTACAAAGAGCACACAATAAATTATACCGCACTACTTCGTTCCCTACTTTCGTGTTTATAGGGACAAAACCCGAGAGCTAATTTCTCAGTTGATTGTGTCGATTAGTTTGGGGAGAAGAATTAATCAATAATGGGGAGAGCAAAAGGAGAAGCTGCAAGAACCAAGTCTCGCCCCTCTAGCAGCAGGTTCTTTCAATTTATTTTTTGTTTTCTCTTTTATTTCTGAATAATTATGTTTGAGATTGATTTCATTCACGGGAAATTGAAAATAAAATAAAATAAATAATAAAATTTGCAGCACCGCTGCTTCGCTGTTGCCATCGGGCGTTACAGCCGTGGGTTTCGGAGGCTATGTTGGAAGCTCGCCCGTGAACTCCTCACTCGCATCAACCCCTGATGCCGTTCCTTTTACGGTCAGTTTTGAGTTCATTTTTTATTTTTAAGAAGGTGAAAATGTGGGAAAAGTCATTTCCTTTGAGAGGGTTTCTTGGTAGAGATGAGGTTTTTTTTTTTTTTTTTTTTATTTATAAATAATTGTGGGATGGTGGCCGGAGCAGGATATTGATGGTGAAGTGGCGCAGCACTTGAAGCGGCTTTCGCGCAAAGACCCTATCACTAAGGTAAATTGTCGTTTCACGTGCATTTGGGATTGTTGTAGTTTCAAATTTTGAATTTAGACAATTACGGTTGACTGGAATAGCACTGGTTGATGTCTTTGTGTTGTTGGTTTCACTTTATTAAGAAGCTTTGCATTATGAGATGAAAAAAATTTGCGGTGTTGTTAGGCAGCGTCAATATGGAATGAAAATTGGTTACAGCTCTATCAGATTGTTTATGCATACTGAGTTATTTGAGCATTCTTTCGTGACAGTACAATTCGCTCGTAGTGTTAGTGTGTTTTGACTAATCTGGTTTCTGAACATATTCAGTTTGACATAATGTTGGTTAACCATGTATTATGAAGATATGGTGCGATGAACAAATTTAGTCGTTGCGATTTTATTGAACTGCTGTTTTTAGTTTTGAGTAAATAGACGTGTTTTGGCTGTCTTACTGGCCTTCTGCCTTCCTCTTGTTTTGCAGCTTAAAGCTTTGACGTCACTTTCTCAACTTATCAGACAAAAAGAGGCAAAGGAAATAGTAACAATTATTCCTCAGTGGGTATGCTTATGTCCATTATATCTTCGGATTTTAAATAATATTTTCTTTGATGACCTTCACTGGAGGAGCAGAATCTTATCTTCCATGATCAGGACCTTGCTTTCACAGTTTATGCAATTCATTTTCTTTTATTGGGACAGGCATTTGAGTACAAGAAGCTGCTGATGGACTACAACAGAGAAGTTCGGCGAGCAACTCATGAGACCATGACTAATCTTGTCAGTGCTGTCGGGTTCGTGTTTAGTCGATTTAATGTAGACTGTTCTACTTTGATGGTGGTTGATGTGTGACTTGTTGTAGATGGGATTAGCACTATTTGCTGTGTACCATGAATATATTAGTATTAGAAGGTGCTCAATTTCTTTTTGTATTTAGAATCATAGATTATAGTGATGATGTCAAGACGTCCTGAAATGAAACGTTCAAGACAAGTTCTTCTTTGTTGTAGCCTAAATGCTGCAGTCTATAGGCTATATGTTATTGGTTTTCATCAAAAATATTGAGAGTTTTTCACTCTACATGTTGAATGAATATATTTTCTTTGTGTGGCCTTTGGAAATGGTATATATTTGCAAGTAGAATAGGAAGTCTGATGCGTGCACTGGATATAGTTGTCACTTGATTGGATCTTGTTTCAGCTACTTGTTATCCTGCAAATAATTCATAGAGAGGAATATGAATGGTTTTTGTTTGCATAGACTGTGTTCTGGTCGTGATATGAATAAGTATTAAATTAGAAGTCTATTTCATAATGTTACATCTTTCACTTTTGTTGTTTTCAGAAGGGATTTGGCTCCACATCTAAAGCCTCTAATAGGACCCTGGTGGTTTTCACAATTTGATTCTGTATCTGAAGTTTCCCAAGCTGCAAAGCGGTCATTTCAGGTTTACTATGTTTCTTTGGAGCATCATGATTAGTCTTTGTGCATCTTTTACGCTATCTGCAAGAATTTTTTCATAGCACAACTGAAATAGAGAAGTATGAAATGCTACAGTAAGTCAGTAACTATCCATAGCTCAACATATGTGCCATGCATGAAATTTTGACCCTCGGGGTAGTGGAGTTGTATATCTTGAAATTGGAATCAATCTTTCCGTCCATCTGACTCCAGAGATGATCTTAGTTGTTATAGACAGATTATGGGGATTGTATTAGAGAAAACGATTTGAAATTCATGGCTTGGATCATAAACTAGAAACTGAGATATCTAGGTTTATTTAGACAAACACTAGATGCAAAGTATCTTTTTACATTTTTTGTATCTCGATTTCTCCCAAAAGTTGTGCATAAATGAAAAATGGGTAAAATGGAATATATGAAACTAGAGCAATCACATTTATGATCTCGATGTCATGCGCAAGTGTACAATACATGCCACATATGATGAAAAGAGATGCTTATAGCGTATACCATATAGAAGTTAAATGTTACATATCTAAAGGATCCTTAATCAAGGTCCTACAGTCTTGGCACATGTAAGTTTTATGTTATTGCTTGCAGAATTTAGATTATGGTCCCAGTTATTTGACAATCCGTCTCTTTTGGTTATTAAGTTTGATGCTTGTCACTGCTAAACTTCATATTTTGTATGTTGATGAAATGAAGTGGGTACGTTGCGTGTACTCACAGAGACTGATGAATTTTGTGTCCTTACAATCATTCTATAGGCTGCTTTTCCTGCTCAAGAGAGGAGAGTAGATGCCTTGATGTTGTACTCATCTGAAATTTTTACGTATATAGAAGATAATCTGAAGCTGACCCCACAGAGTTTATCAGATAAAGCAACTGCTTCTGATGAATTGGAAGAAATGCACCAACAGGTATTGATGAATATGGTTGTCATTTAATAAATGATTACATTTATTGAAGCGATTTTATATTTCTAGCAAACATAAACTTGGTTCTCACTACATATTGTGACAGGTGTGTGAGTAATAGATTTTAAGTAACTGCTTTCTGAATGTTAGAACATGTAAGTAGCTGTTCAAAATTGCATGTCTTTTGTGCCAGAATGAAATTTAAAGTGATTGCTTTTGATTAATGTATGATGTAGGAAGATGTAAAGAACAATGGATTTACATACACTCACTAGGTTAAGTTTTACAGCTATGTCTGATGCCTAAGCACCATACTTGCCTGACCAGTAAATCATTTACTGATTCGATGGGAAGTGATCATCCAAATCATCAACCATGGCCTCACATTTGCATTCATTCTTTCATCCTTTTCATATGTTAATAATTTGTAATCAGCACGTTTGTTTTCCCAATTTAATGCTCTCAAGAAAGCTATGTCATGCAGAAGAAATAGTTTTTTTTTTTTTTTTTCCTTTTTTTCTCTTTATCTCAGTTGTCCGTCGCGCTACAGTTGTGATAGTTGTGTATGCAGCTATTTATTTATACCTGCGATCTTATCATTTTATTCCTTTAGTATTTACCCCTTCCTGGTACAGTTTCATAGTTGTTGGCATTTTGAAAGCTTGATTTGATGGCAGGTGCTTTCTTCTTCATTACTGGCATTAGCAGCACTTCTTGATGTTTTCCTTTATTCGCATTCTGAAAAGCCTGGTCCAGAAAATGTAACTGGTGAATTGAAACATGCTGTGAAAGCTAGGACTATTGCTGTTTCTTCAGCGGAAAAGTTATGCTCAAGTCATAAATATTTTCAAGACTTCCTAAAATCTCAAAGCCCAGCTATTCGGTCAGCTGCATATTCAGTAGTGAAAAGTTGTATAAAAAACATTCCCAATGCTATCAGTGAAGGAGATATGAAAATGCTTGCTGGAACAATACTTGGTTCTTTCCAGGAAAAGAATCCAGCTTGCCATTCATCAATGTGGGAAACTGTTTTGCTTTTTTCTAGAACTTTTCCTGACAGTTGGACTACCGTGAATGTCCAGAAAACAGTTATAAGCCGGTTATGGAATTTTCTTAAGAATGGGTGTTTTGGATCTCAGAAAGTGTCATATCCAGCGCTAGTTCTATTTCTAGAAATAGTACCTTCAAAATCAATCACAGGGGATAAATTTTTTCTTGATTTCTTCCGCAGTCTCTGGGAAGGAAGACACATGTCTTTTTCATCAAACACTGACCGACATGCATTTTTCGTGGCAGTGGAAGAATGCTTTATTTGGGCAGTAAGAAATGCTTCCAGGTATGGGTTCAAAGAGAATATGAATATGCCTTTAGTGACTATCTGTATATATTCATGTGGTTTTGGCATTTTCTTTTTCTTATTTTATCTTCTGATCTAATACGTACTTATGCCCCCCTTGATATCAGATATTGTGTCGGAGCCGAAGCTATTTACCTTTTCCAGCATACCCTTGTTGATGAGGTACTGTTGGGGTTTCTGTGGCCTGAATATCTTTTGGCTGCCAGCTCAAAAAATCAGGATTCAGCCTTTTCATCATCTATTCTAGATCAATCGAAGAATGGCATCCAATCTAATCATAAGGAACCAAGAGAAGCACTGAACAGTAAACATTCAATAGATTATGAAGAAAGTCTTGGGAAATGCATTGTTAAAATCCTTTCTGCGATTCAGCGCCTAGACAATAATCTGTTCTTAGTGTTCTCGTCGAAATTTCAAGCCGATATTCTCGATATATTTCACCAGACAGAGTATTCTTCTCAAAATGTGCGATGGGTGGTTAAATTTATTTTACTACTGGACAAACATGCAGTTCGGAATGGGGAAATATGGCCCTTGCTTGACTTGATTGGCCCCACATTGCAAAAATCATTCGCAGTAATTGGGACACTTGTGAGTTACACAGGACAACTCTTTTGCTGTCGTTAGTTTCAAATTCTGTGGGTATTTTCTTGTTATTTTCTGTTAACTTTACTTCCCACTTTGACCATGGGAGCTCGTCTGAAATTGGAACCGTAGGAATGTATAATTACAGTTAGGCTACCACTTTTAAATATTCATTTGAGCTATCTTTGATATTTGGCTCATTAGTTTGATAAACTAAATTTTAAACCCCTTTCTGAAAAATATGTGCTAGAGCATACTGGTTGTGCTTTTTTTTTTTTTCAAAAAAAGGCTTAATCGTTGTATTTTCCTGTTTTGGTTGCTTTCTATATGTTCCGTATAGTTCTAATATCTTTCTTATTCATTAATTGCATTCTCGTATCATTTTGTTTAAACTAGGACTCGCCAGATGCAGTTACGGTTATTGTCACTGCTGTTTCAGTATTTGGACCTCGCCAGATAACTCAACAGATTATGTGCATTGGATTGGGAGCTGAAGAGTTTTTGAAATCTTTCATTGAAACTATTATTCCTTGGTCCTTAAAAAGATTTAGCCCCTCTACTGCTGCTAGATTGGATCTCTTGCTTGCCTTACTTGACGATGAGTGCTTCTCAAAACAGTGGGACGCCGTTATTAGATATTTAGTGATACAAGAGAAAGTTAGTTTCGATCCTGGAACCATGGACAGAAACTACATATCTGTCTTGGCTATTCTGATGGAGAAGGTCAAAGAGAGAACTAAGAAGAGTGTTCATCAGTCTGACCAATGTGAAGACTGGCATCACGAGCTGCTAGATTTGGTTGCAGTCTATGTTGTTCAAGCCTTTCCTCAATTTGGAGATTCTGATGCTCGATTTATATGGTATGTGGATTGAATTATCTCTCTAAAAAATACAAGTTATGCATAATATATATTACAGCAACATTTAAATTAATTAATATTTATATTTCTTTATTGGATGGGAAGGTGGGAAAATTGATTGGGAGGGTAATATGTGCCTACTGCATTTACTCTTTCTATTAACAACCATAAATGGACAATGTATCGATTACAAAAAATACAATGGGTAAAGAAAGATATTTTAAAGGTGGAAAGAAGAAAACATTGTGGGCTTTTATTCTAAAGCTAGGAACGCAGGTTCATTTTTCACTAACTCTATACTGAAGAACTCCGCGTATCAGTTTGGGTTTTGTGTAGACATTTTTTTTCCGAGATGAATTTGGATGATGGGTTCCCTCAAGTGATGGATTGACTTGATTAAACATTTCATATGTGGCAACCTGATAACATCCATTCTATAGCACATCAGTATGAATTACATTATTGGTTTATTAGGCTATCTAGGATGGACTATCCAGACTCTAGATTTTTTTGTTTTTTTATTTCATTTTATTTTTTATGTTGAGCATTTACAATTATTATATGCTTCTTTCTAGATTGATTGGCGCTGAAGAATCTTTCTGTCTTTCTGTATTTTTCTGAGAGTACTAAAAGATCGTAATTGTTGATCCGACTAATATGGTCTTATATTTTGTGCTTTTACCCTGTGTGGCAGTGCTGTCCTTGGTGGAGGAACAATAGATGATAAAATTTCCTTTATATCACGGAAGACAGTAATTTTGATATTCGAGGAAGTTCTTACGAGGCTAATGACTTTCATGAAGGATTCTACTTTTTCTTGGGTGCAAGATGTGTGCTCTTTATTATATAGTGGGAGTAAATATTCTGACTGGAAGTTGGAACCTTCTAATAATCTGCTGGAGATGGCTCATTTTGTTTTGGATATACTCAATGGTAGTTTATTCTGTCTGAATACTATTGAGGCTGAACGTGAGTTAGTTCAAGGTATATTAGCTGCAATATTTATCATTGACTGGGAATTTAGCTGCATAAATGTTTCAGAGGACAAGCTTAATAAAGAGCATATAGGAGAAACTGGATCCAGGTTGGCCTTTTGCGAAGCTGTCCATGCTTTTCGCTGCAAAATCCGTGATCAGTTCTTGAGAGGTTTTGGTGTAAATAACCGGAAGAGCTTGGGAACTACTTTGGTTCAGTCAATAAAATGCATTACATTTGTAGATAACAGATTTGAATCAGATAATTTCGTATCTTTATGCGGCCAATGGACACTTGATGTTTTTGAAATTTTTTGTCAAGACCAAGTTGAGGAACAACAGTTGTTGGAGCAGTTTCTGAGCAAGAATGATTCGTGGCCATTGTGGGTCATTTCTGATGGGATAGGAGCCAGATTGAGAACTGATAATGTTTCACTTTCTCTCCATGTGAGTTGTATTTCTGCTATGTTTCCTTTTTATTTTCTCCAAATATGTGCTTATGTAACTTCTCCCTCTATTTGCAGGCACCCAGTAATACCAAGTTTATTGCTTTGGTTGACAAACTAATTTCTAAAATTGGCTTTGATCGAGTTGTTGCTGGACTTATTTCCGAGGCATCACCTTCTTCAACTAAAGATTCTCCTACAGACTTGGGAATCAATAAGACTCACTATTCTCGGCCTTGGCTTGCTGCTGAAATTTTGTGCACATGGAAATGGATTGGTGGCTGTGTTTTGGACTCCTTTTTACCTTCCTTCGTTAGCTATATGAAGAATGGAGATTGTGGCTTTTCAGATTCCATTTTGAATGTTTTGATTGATGGGGCTCTTGTCCATGGATCTTGTAGTGGATTAAATCTCTTACAGCGTGCTTCAGTTGACGAGTTAGAGGCTGTTGACGAACCCTTTTTGAGAGCTCTTTTATCTGTGCTCTCTACTTTTTTCCAAGATAATCTGTGGGGAAATGAAAAAGCTACATCACTCTTTAAGCTACTTGTAGACAAACTATACATTGGCGACAACGCAAACCTAAATTGTTTGAAGATTCTTCCATCAATTATGAACATACTTGTTAGACCCTTGAGCATTGGAGCTGAAGATCGAACAAATGATCTGTCTGATCCTTATAGCGAAAGCAAATTACATAATGTAACTGTAGACTGGCTCAACAGAACTGTATGTTTTCCTTCGCTGAGTACGTGGCAAAGTGGAGAAGGTAGTTTACATATTGCTGATGTACCTTATGTAATGAGGAATTACACTTGCGAATTTAAAGAAATAATAATATAATATAGTACTGGCTGTAATGTGTAACGAAATCCTATGCACCTCATTTTACCTCGAGACTGGGATATTCTTGCTTGGTTTTAAGTATTCAATGGCAAAATGCATTTGATTACGACTATGCTTCGGAAGGGCATTTTATAATTTTTTCTGCAACTATTTGCTATCAATTACTATTATTTAGACCATTTTCTGTAGTTGATTTGGCAACTCGAACCTGAATTTTTCAGATATGGAGGACTGGCTTCAGTTGGTTATATCCTGTTTTCCCGTAGAAGTAACAGAAAGGATGCAAGAGATAAAACCAGCGAGATATGTCTTCCCTGCGGAGAGAGCTGTTCTGTATGAGTTATTTCAGAAGCAGAGGCAAGGTGCATCAGCTGTATTAAATAAGCTACCATTGGTACAGAAGCTATTGTCAGAGTTAATGGTGATTTCAGTAGCTTATTGCTGGGAAGATTTTGATGAAGATGATTGGAAATTTGTTTTGCATCGGCTGAGATTTTGGATTGAAGCAGCTGTTGTTATGATGGAAGAAGTTGTTGAAAATGTCAATCACACTTTGGCTAATGGATCTAATGACGTCAATGCCTCATTAAATGAGTTTGAGAATGCTGTTGTAATCAGCGATCCTTTTCCTGTAGAACTCGCCAGAAATGCACTTGTTGGGTTCTCGCTGTTTTGTTCTCTCATTGGGTCGCAAGATAAAGAACATGCCGGAAATTTAAATCATTTGGGGAGTGAGAAATGGGAGATCATGACAGATCGCATTTTCGAAGGTATTCTCCGTTTGTTCTTCTGCACCGCCGCTTCGGAGGCAATAGCAAATTCATGTTGCCACGAAGCATCGTCTATCATCGCATCATCTCGGCTTGGTCATCGCCAGTTCTGGGAGTCGGTTGCTTCATGTGTTCTTCAGTCTAGTTCACATGCAAGAGACAAAGCCATGAAGTCAATCGAAATTTGGGGGCTAAGTAAAGGAGCCATCAGTTCTCTTTACGCCTTGGTGTTTTCATGCAAACCACTTCCACCTCTGCAGTATGCAGCGTTTGTTCTTCTATCAACTGAGCCAGGAGCTCAGTTAGCTTTTACATGCGACACTGGCAAGGTTTCCAATGATGGTACTCTTAATAATGAGGATTCTTTTGATACATCGTCGGCAGAAAATGTTCATTTGAGGGAAGAACTTTCTTACAAACTTGAAAAATTACCTCCAAGGGTTCTTGAAATGGATTTAGTGGCACATGAACGGGTAAGTAATATCTTATTTAGGCAATGGCATTTGACCACGTGCTCTTCTTTGGTGTCTGTTATTCAAATTTTCTTGTAGATCGTAAAAGGGACATGTTTTTTTTGATACATTATACACAAAATATACCACATCTGATATAATTATGATTAGCGTCTCATGCTATGTTAAATTGATAGGTAAATGTTTTAGTTGCTTGGTGTTTACTGCTGGAACATATGACATCATTGCCTTCATCTTCACCGGCAAGGGAGAGAATAATCCAATACGTACAAGAGTCTACCAGTTCAGTAATATTAGATTGTCTTTTCCAACACATACCATTGGAGCTATATATGGGCAGCAGCTCAAGGAAGAAAGATGCAGAACTTCCTGCTGCAGTGTCAGAAGCTGCAAGGCGTGCTATTGCCACCAGTTCAGTATCGGTTTCTGTTCAGTTCCTTTGGCCCATTGGACCCGAGAAAATGGCTTCACTTGCCGGTGCAGTATTCGGTTTAATGCTTCATCATCTTCCTGCCTATGTACGAGGGTGGTTTAGTGATATACGGGATCGTTCGGCATCATCTGCCATTGAGGCTTTCACAAAAGCATGGTGTAGCCCAACTCTGATATCAAACGAATTATCTCAGGTGTGCATGAAGTCATTCGAAATTTTTATATACTTACATTTCTTTTTTTCATACTTGTTTCTTTCACATCAGATGAAGCTTGAGAAACGAGCAGAGTTTGTGGACCTAAATTGCAATACATACATCACGTATTAGAGAATTATATAATTGAGCTCTCACAGCAACAATATTTCCATATTTTTCACATTGGGTACCTCACCATTAATTAATCATTTAAAAAGATGAATATTCTAGTTTAGATTTACAAATCATTGTCTCAAATCGGCACTGATGTCTATAATCAGCTCTCTTCTTGGAAGCATTTTTGCACTGTTTATAATTGCATATGACTGGAGGAGTATGTTGTTTGTGAATGCAGATCAAGAAAGCCAGTTTTGCCGATGAAAATTTCTCTGTAAGTGTGAGTAAATCAGCTAATGAGGTTGTCGCCACCTATACTAAGGATGAGACGGGAATGGATCTGGTAATTCACCTTCCTCCATCTTATCCTCTGAGGGCAGTTGATGTTGATTGCACTAGGAGCCTCGGCATTACTGAGGTGAAGCGAAGGAAATGGTTGATGTCATTGATGTCATTTGTTCGTAATCAGGTTACTTCCTGCGCACTCCAGCTATTTTATTTTTCCTTCTGTGATGTAATGACGTCACACATAGTGTAATGATTCAACATATTTCTCACACCAGTCTTATTGATTTGTCATTTCATTTTGGCTATTCTGAAAACTAGACTCTGATAGTTGTTTCCCGAATTATACAGAACGGAGCCTTAGCTGAAGCAATAAGAATATGGAAAAGCAATTTCGACAAGGAATTTGAAGGTGTGGAGGAGTGCCCGATATGCTATAGTGTCATCCATACCGTCAACCATAGCATGCCACGTCTTGCTTGCAAGACCTGCAAGCATAAATTTCACTCGGCTTGTCTTTATAAGTGGTTCTCAACTTCTCACAAGTCGACTTGTCCGCTGTGCCAATCTCCCTTTTGACCCTGTCAGTAATGAACACACACAACACCTGTTAATATTTCGGTTCAAGATATTCGTTTAGAAGAAAGCAAACTCTATCACTCAAACCAAAGATGTTCTGAAACTGGTCTTTCCCTATATTAACGAGACGAATATTCATTTATTTGAGCTCGATTGAGCATGTTGCAGACAACTTGTCAACTTACTCCAGGAGGCTTTTATCTCTGCAATGTCGACGTGGTAAAACTGCTTACCTTATTCTTTTCTTTTCTTTTCTTCCCGAGTGATGTATGTGAAATATGATTATATATAAAAGATGAGGAAAAATAAATATAGTTCATATGTCAAATGACCTAAATGAATGCAGTTGAAATTTCAAAAAAAAATGAATGCAGTTGAGAAGACAACACTAGTTGTACACGAAATTTTATCTTCATTTGATATTTTCTGAAATTTTGACTAGGTTTTCGTTTTCCATCTCCAACCATGCCATTCATGTATGTACGAGAGATTGCGGTTTGCTTGGAGCCTTATCAGTTGCTAAACGAAAGGCAGACAATTCGAGTTGTTGCTATTTTTATTTTTATTTTTCCTTTTTGTGATAATCATACCATATACTAATTGGTAATCAACTAAACATTAGGGATGATTTTCCGTAGTATTAGTCACTAATATGTTATTGATTTTCTTTTGTTGTGTCGGTATCGATCTTCATAAAGGTCACTTGCTAACAGCAACTTCTCATAGCATCTTATTTTTATACTCAATACTCTTTAACGATTACAATCGAAATCTCTTGGTATTTTCTCGTCGTGCTGTAGATATACTCATTCTCGAGGTTGTATGTATAACGTCTTCAATCTCATAAACAGTGTTGTTTATACTGTATTTATATTCATCATATGCGGCAACTCGAGGGGTTTTTCGATTCTTTTTGAACATTTTTTTAACACAGTGGTGCTATTTCAACCCTTTGAACTTTTCGCAACAGTGCAAATTACATCAGCATATATTAACTAAAGATTTGAAAGCTTATAGAGTAAATTACAAAATGTAATTACGAAAAAAAAAAAAAAAAACTCTTCTTTTTGAGAAACTGCATCCAGCCTCCTCACATTTCGTAAAATTTTACATCCAACCCTTACAAAAGGGTGTTAATGTAAAGAAATCTACAAACCGTAAGATGGGTGGACATAATTATGGAAAAATGAGTGGTTTTTCGTAAATAGACCTTACCTGAGGGGGTGTCCGTAATATATCGAAGCTTATTATAATAATCTTACAACATTTTATGATAATCAACCGTTTTATTCAACACCCATTGAAACAAGAAAACACATATAAACTTGAACACCAACTATAACATAGTCTTGCCTGCAGCCACATTATTAAACTTACACAACAATAACAACACAAATCAAAGCACACACACTGAAACACACACAATTATTTTGAACCTCACAACATGACATAATAAAACATAGATAGATAACCAGGAGCAGCTGCATGCAGACTTGAATTTATTATTTTAGATCTCGAACATTAAACCCGAGCCCCGAAACTTGACCTCCATAAGCTTCTTCATACGTTCAGCCATTGCAGGCGTCAGATAGCTGCTCCAATCTCCGACCGCTCCCTTCCTAAAGAACGAGCTCTTCTTCACCACACCGTAAACATGTCCGTTCTTGTTCACCTTCATATTCTTCAGACTCTCGAAGCTGCAAATCTTTGCTATTTCTTCCATCACCCCGTTTTCCTCCTCCTCGGACGAAAACGGGCACCCCAAAAACTCGCCGATCTTCTTAACGTTAGAAACCACGTCCTCCTTCAAATCCTCGTACTTCAGAAACAATACTTTACCTGGATTCTCCGAATGGGCGTTCCAGAACGCAAGCATGTGCTCCCAAAAGGGTCCGAAGGGCTGAATGCCGTTGCAGAACATGTCAAAAGTCTCGTCTAGTCCGAGCGGCTAGGCTTCCTTCCCGAAGTTTGCGAGCAGGAACTGGCGGAACGAGATGAACTGGTCCAGAGGGTTTCTGCCGAGATAGATAATCTTGCATTTGGATTCACGGATGGAATCCGATAGGGTTTTGAACGGAATGTGGGTAGAGAAGATTCTCGGGCTTTTATTAGTAGTAGTGGAGAGGTGGTCGAGATTAGGGTTTTCTTCGTCCCAAAAGAGATCGAACTCGAGGAAAGGGACAAGCGCCTGAGGGTGGGAAGTGAGTAAAGGGGTTTGATCGATTGTGTGGACCCCACGATTGGCTATGGAGAAAGTTAGGGCTTTCAGCCAGGTGGAACCTGAATTAGGAAGCGTCGACAGTATTATGTCGGAATCTTTTGCTTGGAAGTTCTTTTGAGCGGATAACACGGGTCGGAAAAACATTATTGGGTACCAAAAATCGTCGTATTTAACGATCCGACGGCCATCCCAGTTTGTTCGTTGCTCGAGTGATTGGAGCAACTCCTGGAACTCATCCTTTGTGCCTTGATCTATTTTCTCCATTTGATTTAAATACGAAAGATGTGTATATTATTATGAATTGTTTTTGAGTTGAGTTGATTTTAAAGAAACAAAGTGCATGCATTAATCTTTTATAGTGTGATTTTAGGAGTAGGGTTTCTTTCAATTACCAGGCCACCATATTTATGACATGCAAGTTGGTATGGATATATCAGATAGTATTCCCTCTTCGTTACGCAATACATGCAAATATATATATATATATATATATATATATATATATATATCCATATATAGATTAAGCTACCTACCTCAATAATTAGTTTGGCACTGTGGTTTTCGCATGCAGGAGAATTGAAGTAGAGTGAGGAATTAAATAACTCCGGTCGAAAGATAAAGTTCCGTTATTTCGAATATTTCGATTTCGGAACTGAAAATTCGATTTCATTTATGGAAATATCGGAAATTAATAATCATTCGGATCTTTATGATTTTTGAAAATTTCGTAAGTTTCAAAAATCGTTGTAGTTTACCCATTTTACCCCAATTCGAGCTTCAACTTTGAAACAAGATGATTATAAAATAAGATGTATCTCTTGACTTGTAAATATCAGATTGTGGTGCATCAAAAACTTCATTTTTTGCACAAAACGAGTACAACAAACTAGCTAGAGAACATTCCACGGAATCAATAAGAGTCTGTTGAATTTGACACCGTAAGGGTGGACGTGTAAAATAGTTGAGGAATGGTTGTCATTATCCAAACATAAGAGGATTTTTCGTAATTTAACCTTACCTCAGGAGGTGACTGTAGATTACCCTATAAATTATCATATAAGTTAATTTTTAAGAACCAGGGTGCTGGTATAGGTTTTACCCATCAGGACTAGGGTTTCTACTTTCTTACACGATATTACAATATAATATATGAGAAATTAAGTATGCCTAATTTTGTCGGGGACTTCTAGCATACAGATGTATCATATATAGTTAAATCTCTATAAATTAAGACAGTTGGGATCATTAAAATCCAATTACTTTAGTGAAATATTAACTTATCGATAAACTAATAATTATTAATTTATACATTAATTAATAACTTATTAATTTATGAAATTATTTTTGTTATTATTTTCAACAAATATATTTTTTTTAATTTTTTACGTTAATATTATTTATTGCACCGTTAGTTCAACGTACTATAGAGCCCATTTCTCAAACGGGAGTTCTCAAAGCAACGATAGTATTGAACAATTTAATTTTTGCTGAGTTATAAGAAAACTATACCAAAAGTTCTAACCATGTTAAAAAAGTGAGGGAAGAGATTGATGTGATGTGAATTTCAATAAGAAATAAACAATAATTAAAATATATTTTATTAAGTTTCTTAGATCTATAAAACATGCATTGTAATAAGTAATTTAAGAATTATTTTTATGCATTATTAATTTATATATTATATGGGGCTTCTTAAAATTTTTGAATGTGTATTATCTTATAAATTTAGCGAATTATTAATTTAGCACGATGTCCCCGAGTCGGGACCGAACAAAAGTATTATTTAAGTGAAGATATTAATTTATCGGGTATTAATTTATCGAGGTTCTACTATATATATATATATATATGTGATAAACAGAAGCTAGGTGCGGAGGTAGAGTTGTGGTTTTAGGGGTAGAGAAGTAATGAGAGAAATTGAGCCATATATACTTGTCAATAGATACATTACCAGAGAAGTTACGTACGTAGCTAGAGTTGCAATTTCCGGTAGACAAGTTATGAGGGTAATTGCGCCATCTTTATCAACCCCCCTCTCTCTCTCTCTCTCTCTCTCTCTCTCTCTCTCTCTCTCTCTCTCTCTCTCTCTCTCTCTCTCTCTCTCTCTCTCTCTCTCTCTATATATATATCTTAAAATTCCAGAAATTAATAATTCATTCCGATACTATAGAATTATTTAAAAAAATCACAATTTTCAGAAATCAATTTAATTTATTATTTTTCATTTTTTTAATTTAAAATTTCTAATTCCTGATTTGTTTGAGGAAAATTAATATCATTTGTCTTGTCAAATTATTAAATTATGTATATTGTTTTACCAAATATTAAATTTCAAGAAGAGCATGCAAGCTAGTTGAATTTAATTCTAAAACCATGTATTTCATAAAATCAAATGGTAATCATATTACTTCTGATTATATTATGAAAGTTTATTCATTAAATTCAAGATCTCAAATAGAGATTTTGCAAAGAAAGTAAGATATATTGTTATGATGATCCCTGAAACATCGATAAGGATGCTATTATGCCGTACACATTCGAAGCAAGGTGCTCGAAACTCAAAATTTACGCGATTTCTGCTCACATGCAAGAACTAGAATAACGAGCTGCCGAGTTATAAACGAACAAATTTCGGAAATACAAAAACTAAACAAATCGATACCATAAAAAGCCCCGTAACAAAAATAGTTCAACATAAATAAATTGGACCAAAAAATGTTCCCTAATTGAACGAAGTCCCGACTGTGTAACTCTTCAACCTTTTTTCGTCTCCTTCGATTGCTAGATAGAAAGAAATTGAGATTTTCAATGGTTTGCTTAATCATAAAGCTCCGTTTTCGTGCTAATTTAACAAGTAGTGTTTGAGCATCGATCCACTTGTGAGTCACCGCATGAAAGGAACTAAGTATCGCAGCTCTGTTCCATTTCCATTGGACAAGTAGAAAATCTTCTTCCAGTTATCCTCCGTAAAAGCATCACGTTTCACTAGCCTTTGCCTGCCAAATCGAATGTCACGTGAGAAAAAAATAATATTTGACCAAGAAATGACGACACCTGTCACACTCATTAATACTGGAATGGAAATCCATCGTTTATCTTCTTTCAGAATGTAGATACAAATGCATATTTCACATTAATTGTCATCTTCGGTTTCGGAATGCAGATATCAAGGTCAATTTGCCTCTGGTTAAATTTCATTCTTCGATAGTTGTGATTAGTAAAATGTAGTATTTACGAGTTTGAGAGATGCGGACCTGAGATAGTAGTGGCAGACAGTGGCAGCTTCGTCCAAAGTGTATCGTGGGAAATGGATTCGAGCATCAGTAGGAACATCTGGCAATTCTTGACGCAATTTCCCTACTGCAGTTGAATGGGAGAAAGCACCCACCATCATATCGTCGTTCGTCATTGGCCTAAACGCTTTAACCTACAAAATGGTGTAGCACAATAACATCGATGAGATAAACATGTAAAATAAGGTATACGAAGTAGAGGAAAGCAAAAAGAGTGCTTGTCTTGGAGTATAACACTATTCAGGAATATAAAAATCAAAGTTGTTCAGTAACTCTTAATAATGTCTCCAAGACATTATGATGTTTCGATTAAAAGGAATTGCATGATAGATATCCCTCCTCCAATAAGCAAATGTAACATTTAGTAAGGAAACAAGTACTAATCTACTGGATAAAGATATGTTTCTTTCTTAAAGAAGATATAGTTAAGAAACATATGCAAAAGGCTGAAATTGTCAAGTAATAGTTCTAAAAGCCAGATGATTTATAACTTAATATTGGTAGCGAAAACTTATAGCAAGCATCAATTTCAAGTGTACCTTCTTACTAATAAATCAGGAGTCAATTCCTTCTAAGCCAGATAATTGAATATGCGAACCCATACCATTCTGATACCCATAAAATACTCACACAATATAAAAAATTTGAAGTTGTATTGAGTAAATGAATCACAACTTACAATAGCAACGTCTTTAGCATGAATGGGTACGCAAGAACGAACTGTTACTGGCTCCTCAAATTCGGTAAATGTGAACCAACTGTTATACTGTTCAGATACAACAGTAAGCGTTAGCAGCCTGGATGCCAATAAATTTGGAAATTCCAATATAGACCCCTCATTGGAAGAAAAACACTTACTTGATCAATTGCAATAAGGACAGGGATACTCGTCACTTTGGATAATTCCTCCCTCAACCGAACTACTACTCCAACAGCAGCATGCGTATTACTGATTCCAGCCTCAACAAGCTCACAAAGAGTTGAATCAGCTGAAATTTGCATTTTATCACTACCTTTCGGCGGCCCAACACCAGCCCCCTCCCCCAATGGAATAGGATCATGTACATTGCATTTTAAACATTGCAAGATAGACTTGTTGTACTTCAAAAAATCCTGAAGAAAACAACCACGAAATTCAGAATTCAAAAACATTTTCCAAAAAATGCAGACGAAGATAATGATTATGCAGCTTCCATAGATCTTCCAAAAAATGCATATGGAAGCTCCCAGAAAATTTAATTGTTTAAAAATAGAATTAGAAACTATGAGTGGGCCCGATTGGTCTTCTGAATCATCACATGCGCAATCATATTATTGCATACATATGTTGACAATAGCAACAGACGCTATCTTGCAATTTTTAAAGGTGCCACTGTTCTACAAACAACCTGATGTAAGTAAGTATGACATCTTGATAAATTTAATCAAACAACAATGCTAAAAGCAGCACCACCTTGATATCTAATGAGATGATAAACCGAAAATGGAACAAGTGTAGTTGCTACATTACACGATTTAAGGTCTAAATAATTTATACTGAGAAATGTAAAATTCTTACACGCAGAATGTTTGCCGCCTGCACAGGGGTATCCCACAGACCAGTCTGAGGATTTTTATAGAATAATCCACCGTGTGTCCATTCTCGACCTTTGGGAACATAAAGCACAAGCCAACCTTCCTTGCGTGCCCAATGAACAAGCATTGCAAGTGCAATACTCTTGCCGCAACTCAAGGGGCCATCTAATACAATTTGCTTTCTAACTTTGGGAGCTGATATTCAGAAAAATCACGAGTTTATCATTCTCATAGAAAAGAATGGCATCTATAAACTGTTGATTAGTTCCCCCATTTAAGTTATCTATGTCCAGGGATGCAGGACAACACGTGAAATTGATAAAGAAAGAGTCATAATATACTAAATATAATTCATTATCTGCGAGAGTGTTTTTCCACCAACAAATAGAGTGATACACGATGACAGTTGAGTGAAAACAGATCGTTAAAGTTTCAGTTATGTGTCTCAAAGGATGTACTTATTGTATTGGACAATCAAATTCTTGACTTTCCTTAACAATATAGGTTATCTCAAATCTTCAATAGGATCAAATTCTCGACTTCCTTACTAATATAACTTATCTTGAATTTTCAATACAATCAAATTCCTGACTTCCCTTACTAATATATAGCTTGTTACATTGAATTGAATCCTACAAAAAGCTGAAAACCAATAGCTTTGTCTCAAACAGCAAATTTCTTTAAAATTCATGCAAAAACCTTCCCCGTCTATATTAAATTTTGCTGAAGATATTAAACTACTTAAAGGAGAAAAAACACACCTCTAGGCTTGACCGCTAATGAAGGATCAGCAGCCCGCCTGAAATTATCACGAAGATCAACAAAACACTGTCTCATCAGCAAAGCACTCCTGCTTGATTCCTCAAATTCTTTCATCATTCCCATTGGTAAGCCCTCTGGCAAAACCTCTTTCAACTCCTTCATACTACAAACAAAATTCAATGGAAATTGCTAATCAAGATTTGCCACTGTGATAGTAAAAACACAGTAGCACACACCAACTGAACCTAAAGCACATGTCAAACTCTCAACTTTACAGTTATTAACCAGAAATGTTTCCTTCAATCCTTAACCGGCAACTCAACTCAGTTAGCATTGACTTTGGCAAAACACTTGGGATATTGATTCTAGGAAAATAGAAGTTCAATACATTGATTGTCAAACAATTGATTCTACAAAAAATTTGCAACCGGACAAAAGGTAAAAATAACGTTGCTCCTAAAAATTGTTGATTCGTGTCCCGGCATCCAATAGTAGTTTCAGTTTCGAACACCAAACACCGCACAAAATCACCATACAGGCATGTCTAAACGCTGCACAACACACACCCTCATACAGTGGCCAAAAACTAACAGAGCATAGCCAATAAATGAGACTAATAAAATCGATAAGAAGGCAACGACATTCAATTCAGCATATAATCGAACAGGACAGAAGCATTCAGCGCAGAATCGTTTCAATCGAAACCTGTAAACCGTCTAAAGCAACTAATTTTATTGATAAAAAAAGGAGAATACATTACCTGAATTTGAAGTAAGCGTTGGTATCTTCCTTTGTCAGCATAGAGAGAGAAGGAATGGAGGTGAAGAGAGGGCGGCCATTGGGGCCAACGTCGAGAGCGGGGTTCTTATCGTCCTCCGCCAGCAGACGGCGGCGCTTCTCCGCCTCCTCAGCGGCGGAAACATTGGGGCTCACGGTCTGAATCTCTTCGGGAACCTTTTCCTTCTTCGCCTTGGGATCGACCTTCGGTTGGTTCTTCTCTTTGGTGGGCTTCCCTTTCTTAGATGATTTTGATTTCGATTTCGATTTTGATTTCGAAGCCATGCTCCGGCAAAAGGAAAGCTGCCATTGAGACTCTTTGAGTGGTGACGGTGCGGCGGTGGCTGCTCGAAGAATCGATCGCAGCATCATTTTCCTCTTTGGCTTGGGTTTTTTGGGGGTTTTTGGTACGGGTGCAGAAGAACACTCAGTCACCACTGTAGAGGGGTGAAAATGGGTGTTCTTAAGATCGGCAAGGGTTTTTTAGTCTTTTACAACAAAAGGCTTTTCTTCGTCTTTGTCTATTTCCACACCACCAAAATTCTAACCACACTCCACTAATTAAAAAAATAAAGTGCTATATACACTACAGTTTAAACAGCTTAAGAATTCCCGTATTTCGGACACGTTTTGTGTCGTCACTCGAGGACATTTACCGAATACTGTATCGATTGTTTTACAATTTCAAAAAAAATTAGAAACATGTTTGAATAATAAATTTTCAAATATTAGAAATATGATATTTAAAGATCAATTGCAAATTGATATTTGATGTTAAAATTTATTTTGAATATGTTTGTATGAAAATATATAAAAAGAATTTATATATGTTGATATAGTATATTTATAAATCTACCTCTACAATTTTAATATTTACACGTTTTCTTCAAGTTCTTGTATCCCATTTTTGGAACATGTCTTTTTCTCGAAGGGGGCAACTAAAACAAATCTCAAATTTTTCTCACTTCAGTACCTCCAAGTTTAAAACCATTTTTTATAAAAGTTTTTACAACTTTTTCTTAGTTTAAAACCATAAATAAAAAAAATTGTTAGCAAAGTACAAAAACACCCTTCATCAACCAAAATACAATTTATACAAACAATTTTTTTATTCCTCACTTCAATACCAAGGATAAAAAGAAAAACAAATCTCTCTTCTTCTCCCCAAACTCAAATCTCTTAAACCCTATCTTCTTCATCTTCTTAAATCCTCCAAAACATCTCCAAATTCAAAAAATCAAAACCTCACAAAACTTATAAAATGGAGTTATAAGACAATAATATGGTAGTATATATGGAAAGAGAACCCATTAAGGTATGTATCCATGTTTTTTTTGAGCTTCGAAGTCGATTTTGAAGTTTTTTTTTTTGAAACCCGCCGGCAATTTTCGACACATACAGGTCGATTTTTTGGTCAATTTTCGACACCAACGGTCGAAAAATATATTTGAAAAAAAAAAAAA